TTCTTGATAATGTGAGAAATCACGAAATCACTTTGAAGTTCCCTCTTCACAGTGGTTGTTCTGCATCATATATATATATGTATATATATATATATATATATATATATATATATATATATATATATATATATATATATATATATATATACACTGAAGTATATACCTCTGTATATACATGCTGCTCTCAGTGCATATACATTTAAGGAAACATACCTTTATAGAATATATAAAGCCTATCCTTTAAGAGATGTAGGTTACCTGTAGTCGCTTCCGGAGATCACCGCCTCCGGGACCCGGTCCCAGATCAGGCCTCCTGGAATGATCGATCAGGCTATTGGTGCCACCCAACATTTGAGACAAATCCCTCCAGAATCCTTCAGCTATAGATTATGATGTATCTTTCTCGCCTATGCTCTAAGGAGTACATAGTTATATGGATTTCAAGTGCTCTCAGTGTTTAGGTGCTTGACAAGAGATTATACTTGCCCAACTACTGATGCCAATAACAAAATCCCCCCAACAAACACAGAATACAACCTCGTTCATATTTGCTAATATACAGGGCCTTAAGCCATCCACCAACAAAATACCTTTTATCAGTGGACTTCTAGTGGAGTCTAATGCAATGTTTGCAGCCTTCACAGAGACTCACACAAAAGATCACTTTGACAGTGAAATATGGATAAGTGGTTACAACCTTTTTAGATGCGACAGAAAAAACAGGCAACAAGGGGGGGTTGGCCTGTATGTCAAAGAGTCCCTTATCTGCACGGAGTTGCTGAACACCACAAATGAGGTAGTTGAAGTTCTATCAATAAAGATCGAGAACCAAAACCTAGTCATTGTGGTTGTATACAAGCCACCAGATGCAACCTCACAACAGTTCAAGGAACAGCTACTGAAAATCGATTACTGTTTGGAAAACCTTCCAGCTCTATCCCCAAACATCTTACTGCTTGGTGATTTCAACCTAAGGCATACAAAATGGAAGAATGTAGCAAGTAATGTTATAGCTGAAACAATCCCCGGAGGCAGTGCAGATGAAAGGTCACACACACATGAGCTACTAAGTCTCTGCGAAAAAGACACCTTAAGCCAGCAGATAGTGGAGCCAACAAGACTAGAAAACACACTTGACCTTATCTTCACAAATAATGAGGACCTGATAAGAGACATAAGAATATCAAAAACAACTAATTCCGATCACAATCTAATCGAAGTCCAGACATACATGTATAGGGGTCCTGAACAGCAGAATGCATGTACCTGTGAAGGTGTCTTCACAAAATACAATTTCAACAACAACATCAACTGGGACCAGGTAAACCATGTCCTAAATGAAACATGTTGGGAAGATGTCTTAAATGACATGGATCCAAACCAGTGCCTTGAAAGGATCAACTTCCTGGTAGCCGAAGCATGTTCTAGGCATATTCCCCTAAGAAAGAAGAAGAGCAGGAGTAAACTGGAGAGAAAACGATGCTCCCTCTACAGAAGACGACGAAGAGTCACTGAGCTCCTCAGGAGTGCTAGAATATCTGATACACGAAAGGAGGCGCTGACCAGAGAAGTGGAAACTATCGAACTTAAGCTAAATGACTCTTACAGGAACCAGGAGAGGCAGGAGGAGCTTAAAGCTATTAGTGAAATTGAAAGAAATTCAAAATATTTCTTTTCATATGCCAAAAACAAGGCAAATACCACATCTAGTATCGGGCCCTTACTCAGACAGGATGGGACTTACACAGATGACAACAAGGAAATGAGTGAAATATTGAAATCCCAGTACGACTCTGTGTTTAGTGAACCACTAATCGGTCTGAGGATCGACAACCCAAATGATTTCTTCATGAATGAGCCTCAAAACTCCATAAATGTATGCCAGATTTCCGACATTACCCTAACTCCGATAGATTTCGAAAAAGCCATTGACAACATGCCTATGCACTCAGCCCCGGGCCCAGACTCGTGGAACTCTGTTTTCATTAAGAACTGCAAGAAACCCCTCTCGCGTGCCCTAAGTACACTATGGAGGAGGAGCTTGGACATGGGTGAAATTCCACAGTCACTTAAAACAACGGATATAGCCCCACTCCATAAAGGTGGCAGCAAAGCATTAGCTAAGAACTATAGACCAATAGCTCTGACGTCACACATCATAAAAATCTTTGAAAGAGTGCTAAGAAGCAGGATTGCAAATCACCTGGATTCCCAAAATCTGCATAATCCAGGGCAACATGGGTTCAGGGCAGGTCGCTCCTGCCTCTCACAACTACTGGATCACTATGACATGGCCTTGGATGTACTGGAAGAAAATCAGAATGCAGATGTAATATACACAGACTTTGCAAAAGCATTTGACAAATGCGATCATGGCGTAATAGCCCATAAAATACGTGCTAAAGGAATAACTGGAAAGTGGGGAGATGGATCTTCAACTTCCTAACAAATCGAACACAAAGAGTAGTGGTCAACAGAGTTAAATCGGAGGCTGCCATAGTGAAGAGCTCTGTTCCACAAGGCACAGTACTCGCCCCCATCTTATTCCTTATCCTCATATCAGACATAAACAGAGATATACACCACAGCACCGTATCATCCTTTGCAGATGATACTAGGATCTGCATGAGGCTGTCATCTGCTGAGGATGCGGTTAACCTCCAAGAAGATATAAACAAAGTTTTCCAGTGGGCAACGGTAAACAATATGATGTTCAATGAGGACAAATTCCAACTACTCCGTTATGGAAAACTGGAGGAGATAATAACTAGAACAGAGTATACTACTGACTCCGGCCATACAATAGAGCGGAAAAATAATGTAAGGGACCTGGGAGTAGTAATGTCTGAGGATCTCACTTTCAAGGATCACAACAGTGCCACGATCACAAGTGCAAAGAAAATGATAGGATGGATAATGAGAACTTTCAAAACGAGAGATGCCAAGCCCATTATGATCCTTTTCAAATCACTTGTTCTCTCTAGGCTGGAATACTGCTGTACATTAACATCTCCATTCAAAGCAGGTGAAATCGCAGATCTAGAGAGTGTACAGAGATCCTTTACTGCACGTATAAGTTCTGTCAAGCACCTTAACTACTGGGAACGCTTAGAAGCACTTGACTTGTACTCGTTGGAACGCAGGAGGAAGAGATATATCATAATCTACACTTGGAAAATCTTGGAAGGAATGGTCCCAAATCTGCACACACAAATCACTCCCTACGAAAGTAAAAGACTGGGCAGGCGATGCAAAATGCCCCCAATAAAAAGTAGGGGCGCCATTGGTACACTAAGAGAAAACACCATAAGTGTCCGGGGCCCAAAACTGTTCAACAGCCTCCCATCAAGCATTAGGGGAATTGCCAATAAACCCCTGGCTGCCTTCAAGAGAGAGCTGGACAGATACCTAAAGTCAATGCCGGATCCGCCGGGCTGTGGCTCGTACGTTAAACTGCGTGCGGCCAGCAGTAACAGCCTAGTTGATCAGGCCCTGATCCATCGGGAGGCCTGGTCATGGACCGGGCCGCGGGGGCGTTGATCCCCGGAATAACCTCCAGGTAACCTCCACCAGTGCCGGGGATCGAACCACGGACACTCAGTATGTGAGCGTTGACAACAGTCATGCCTCCAGCTTTTTTTTTTTGGTTATATCCAGGTTGTACTCGTACGTTGGATTGCGTGCGACCAGCAGTAACAGCCTGGTTGATCAGGTCCTGATCCACCTGGAAGTCTGGTGGAGGACCGGGACGCGGTTGTCAGTAAGTAAGTAAGTAAGTAAGTAAGTAAGTTTATTCAGGTATACACAAATACAGTTACATAGAATTATCATACATAGCAGCATATGTGTAGAGAACCTAGGATAACCCAAAAAAGTCAGACAGAGTGACTTATTTCCATTGGGGGTTATTCCGGGGATCAACGCCCCTGCGGCCCGGTCGCGTTGATCCCCGGAATAACCTCCAGATGCTCTCGATACTTTGTGCCCACTGAGGTCATGGGGCCGCTGCTGGAATCTACTGTGGGATCACGGTTACCTTCACTGACAACCGCGTCCCGGTCCTCCACCAGACTTCCAGGTGGATCAGGACCTGATCAACCAGGCTGTTACTGCTGGTCGCACGCAATTCAACGTACGAAGTACAACCTGGATGTGAAGGTTCTCTTTCTCCGACGTATACGGTGTATAACATACACTGAGAGACATGTTTCTCTGTTACCCCCACGTATACAGTATATACGCTGAGAGACATGTATCTCTGTTACTCCCACGTATACGGTGTATAACATACACTGAGAGACATGTATCTCTGTTACTCCCACGTATAGTGTATAACATACACTGAGAGACATGTATCTCTGTTACTCCCACGTACGTTGGACTGCGTGCGGCCAGCAGTAACAGCCTAGTTGATCAGGCCCTGATCCATCGGGAGGCCTCGTCGTGGGCCGGGCCGCGGGGGCGTTGATCCCCGAAATAACCTCCAGGTAACCTCCAGGTAACAGTGTATAACATACACTGAGAGACATGTATGTCTGTTACTCCCACGTATACGGTGTATAACAGACTGAGAAACATGTATCTCTGTTACTCCCACGTATACGGTGTATAACAGACTGAGAGACATGTATCTCTGTTACTCCCACGTATACAGTGTATAACATCAACTGAGAGACATGTATGCCTCACTGATATATAAACCGAATTTCCTCGTATCTCTGTTTTAAGGATGAAAATTATCTGATGTTGGCGACCAGGTTTACTGCAGGCCTGACGACCTACGTGCAGTCGATAGGCTTCATACCTACCTAACTTAGTAACGTTTACGCTTAGGAAAACAAACACGGAATTAGTGCAGTGATTAGTTGTGAATCAGAGATTAGTGGATGGGTGGCGTAGCGTTGTCTCTGGTACTGGTAGGAATGGTGGTATTGGTGGTGGTAGTTAAGGGGTAGGGGTGACAGTGGTTGGGGGGGGGGGGGTTGCATCATAAAAGGACAAGGGCCGACGTGAACTTAAGGATAGATGGGTGCCACGGGCTAGGAGGTGGTTAGTACCTAGGGTAGGGGACGAGGGGGAGGGGGAAGGGGAAACGAGGGGAGGAGGGAAGGCGCCTGGGGTCCCGCGGGACTCCGTGGCATTCCTTCCCCTCTCCCTTGCCTCCTCCTCCTCCTCCTCCTACCCCCTATCCTTTCCCTCCTATCCCCTCAGCTAACCATCCGGCACAATCCTACCCTCACTTGCCAGCCACTCCTTCACTCCCCTTTCTCCGTTTGCCTTTTTCTTCCCCCTCACTTTTCTTTCTCCCTCTCTCTCTTCGTCCTCCCTATATCTCCTTTCTACTCACCGTTCCCCCCTCTCTCCCCTCACCTCTCCTGCCTTCACCTCTCCTGTCCTCACTGCCTCACACCCTCCCCTCACTGCCTCACACTCTCCCCTCTTATGCTGCTGATTACACCGTCTGTTTGTGTGTTTATACATTCCAAGCAGCGGAGCCTCAGGGTATTTGTTCTTCAACACTGTTACTGTGTGTGTACTCACCTATATGTGGTTGCAAGGGTTGAGTCACAGCTCCTGGTGTGTGTGTGTGTGTGTGTGTGTGTGTGTGTGTGTGTGTGTGTGTGTGTGTGTGTGTGTGTGTGTGGTTATAGCTATAGAATTGGGTGTGGTAATTTGGTAGACTGATAGTTTCGGTGTGGTAGTTTGAGAGGTTGGACGCAGTAGTGTGGTAATTTGATAGCTTGGGCGTGGTAGTTTGATAGTCAGGGCATGGTAGTTTGAAATATTGGAAGCGGTAGAGTGATAGGTTGGGTAGTCTGATAGTGTGGAAACCAGTGAGTAGGAAGCTTGTGGCTTGCGTCCGCCAGACCTGCCCTTGTTAATCAGCTGGGTATGGTTGCTATTTACAACCCGCCCGGCTAAGATTCCCTTTAATTTTCACGTGCATCTCTCACAGATTCCGCATTACTCGGGAACAACACAAAGAAAAAACTCTGCTATCGCCCGACCAAGACAGCCAGTGGCACATCTCTTTGTTAAATTATTAACTGGTGTGTGTTAAAAGACGCGAAAACCAGATCTCGCTAACAGTGATGGCGCCACACTTGCCTCAGGCTGCTGTTACCACCTGCCAGAGATCGCACACTAACTCTCATTTATCACCTTATCTTTCCACTCCTTTCTCTTTAATCTTCCATTAGGGTGTATCTGTAACTAAGCTGTCTATTGGCACATGGTGGTAGAGGAAGAGATGGCACCGGGGTGGTATAGTTAGTAAAAAAGCGGAGTGATGCGAGCAGTGGTAGCATAGGGGTGGAGGCGGCGTCTAGCTGACAGGCGTTGGTGGTGGTGCTGGTGGTAGTAGTGGTGGTGCTGGTGGTGGTGGTGGAGTCTGGTTGGGATGGTGTTGGTGGCCTGACCTGCTGCTCTCCTTCACTCCGGGCTCGCCCATATATACCCCAGCCACCGCCGCTAATGTCATTCGGTATTCATCAAGTTGACTCGTACGCCGGTGGTGTGATTTCCTTCATCTTGGAAGTGTAGCTAGCGGTGGGTAGTGTGGTGGTGGTGTTTATACACTCTCTTTCACCCAGAAACATGCATTCTCCAACACACTGCAAGGATAACTTCATCGTTAACGGATAAACTTCAGTTACGCGGAGTTGACTTGCACTTCCCTCATACGCTGTAGTGTTACTGACTTGTCCTGCTCTCCTGTAGTGCTACTCCCATATACAGTAGCATCATCTGACATTTTCTTGTTTTAGTGGTAGTGGTTGTATTCTTGTTGAGCCGCTCAGCCGTTAAGGTATAATAATAATTATTATTATTATTACTGAGAAACTGGCTAAAGCTGTCACAGAGCAGAGTGAAGCAACTGGTGGCCAGCAGCCTACCTTGTACAAATAATATATGCATGTATATCATATGCATCAAGTCATTTACTTTCCCAGGTTTGGGTTCATATGAAAATTCGCCCCAAGGTAAAATATTGTGTACTTTTCAAAGAAAAGTGATGCAAGTTTAGGAAAAAATGTGTCACTTTTAGCGAGGTTTGTCATGCGAGTTTGGTGCAGAATTAATAAGTGACATATAAGTTGTATACAAAACTAGGTTAGTTTATATTAATTGGGCGAATCTTTGGATATTATTTTTATTTAGTACATTTGCGTTTTTTATATTCAATGTGAATTGATATTTCAGTTAAGGATGCTTGTACAGCACATACTTATTTGTTTAATAAAAATTATGTATAACTAGCACAGTATTTATCTTATATTTCATTGCGAAGAGTCTTGGCAGTGATTATACTCTAGTGGTCAGGTGCTGTTGTTCCCTACGGGTTTAGTGCTTACCAATAATGTATAACCCTTGTGGATTTAGCGCTTAGTTCTGTTGATTTAAAAACAGCAGATCATAGGATAAGGCAAGTTACACTAAAAAATCAAATTTAGCTTCTCTTTGTTATCCAAGTTAATACATGTATATTTCTAGTTTTATCTATTTTTCGTTTTACAATGGTTGCATTAAGCACGATATAGAGGCATGCACTGATGTGACGAGTGAACCTAGGTTTACCCAACGCAGTCAAACAGTATAGCTTATTTTTTTTATTGGTTAAAAGTACTTTGAGTGAGACTGGTTGTGATGTGTGATGGTAGGTGAGGGATGAAGGGAGACCAGAGTATTACTATATCATTGTGTAACAACCATTGTCGTGGCGTCAGTGTTCTCTTGTCACCACCCATCACCACTGTCTGGCCACCCTCACTTACACTTCTTACTTTTATCTTATCTTATATTATCTTCGGTTTCTTGGTTTTGCTACTAGTTCATAGCCGTGCTGTCATTCTCTCGTCCTAGCGCGTCTAAGGTAGTGTAACAAAACTGACACTTAAAATTTTCGACAGGATATTTAAATGTTTAAATTTGAATTTTATTTGTGGCCCCAGGCTGGGCTGCGAGGGTGGTAAAGCCCTCATAACCAGTTACAGGTAAGTCACAGGTAAACCATCGAAACCAGTCATTTGAGTGTAGCAGTACGAGGAACTTTGTCCTAAGTTCTCCGTCGATCATGTACGGTAGAGTGGACGGTAGCTGTAGGTATTTTATCTTTTGCTGGTTTCACCTTTATAATGGCTCGCCAGTATAGCCTCATATATAATAGGGATGTGAAAGTTAAGACACATGTGCAACATCTGGATATCTTTATTATAGACGTTTCGCCATCCAGATGTTGCACATGTCTTAACCTTCATATTGTCGGTATTTTATACCTTTCTTGCACATATATAATAGGGATGCAGTTCTTTCCTCTTGATCTGGGATGCAGGGCAACAGAGGGATGCAGTAGCTGTCCTCTTGATCTGTGATGCAGGGCAACAGGATCACCTAAGTATGAGCCACACGCAGTGGAAATAATTTGACTTTTATTAGTTATCCTAGGTAATTTACATACATGGTACTGTGTAATTCTCTCTGTACATTAGGGTTATGGCTAGACGACACATACTGTTATTACATCAGGGTTATACGGCGTCTGAGGAGTGAAAGATAATCGACTTGATCCAAGGGTAGGATAGATCTAATTCAGTGGATCAAGAGTCCTTCGCAAGTTTGAAGGCATCCTCTTAAGGAGTACACAGAGATACACACAGCCTGCATGACTAACACCAGGACACCCAACACTAGCTCACGTGACGTCATGATGTAAACACGCAGCATGGCTCCTCTTCACCCCTTGCTTTAGGGAGGCTCCTCTCCACCCCCTGTTTCAGGGAGGCTCCACTGCATCCCTGTTTAAGGGAGGCTCCACTGCATCCCTGTTTAAGGGAGGCTCCACTGCATCCCTGTTTAAGGGAGGCTCCACTGCATCCCTGTTTAGGGGAGGGTCCACTGCATCCCTGTTTAAGGGAGGGTCCACTGCATCCCTGTTTAAGGGAGCGTCCACTGCATCCCTGTTTAAGGGAGGCTCCACTGCATCCCTGTTTAAGGGAGCGTCCACTGCATCCCTGTTTAAGGGAGGCTCCACTGCATCCCTGTTTCAGGGAGGCTCCACTGCATCCCTGTTTAAGGGAGGGGTCCACTGCATCCCTGTTTAAGGGAGGCTCCACTGCACCCCTTTTCAGGGAGGCTTCACTGCACCTATTTCAGGGAGGCTCTACCGCACCCCATTTCAGGGAGGCTCCACTGTACACCCTGTTTCAGGGAGGCTTCTCTTCACCCGTTGCTTCAGGGAAGATCCTCTTCACCCCTTGCTTCAGTGAGGCTCCACCGCACCCTCTGCTTCAGGGAGGCCCCACTTCACCCCTGCTTCAGAGGAGGCTTCACTGCACCCTCTGCTTCAGGGGAGGCTTCTCTGCACCTCCGGTTTCAGGGGAGGCTCCTCTTCACCCGTTTCAAGGGAGGCTCCTCTTCACCCCCCGTTTCAGGGGAGGCTCCTCTTCACCCTCCGTTTCAGGGGAGGCTCTTCACCCTCCGTTTCAGGGGAGGCTCCTCTTCACCCCCCGTTTCAGGGGAGGCTCCTCTTCACCCCCCGTTTCAGGGGAGGCTCCTCTTCACCCTCCGTCTCAGGGGAGGCTCCTTTTCACCCTCCGTTTCAGGGGAGGCTCCTCTTCACCCCCGTTTCAGGGGAGGCTCTTCACCCTCCGTTTCAGGGGAGGCTCCTCTTCACCCCCGTTTCAGGGGAGGCTCCTCTTCACCCTCCATTTCAGGGGAGGCTCCATGCTGCTAGAGGACTCTATGCCACGAATTGCAGGTACCCTTCCTTGGATTAAACCCGATTTCCTCGTATTCCCCCCAGATTCCCTTAAGGAAGGTTCCTTGACGCTGGTGAGGGGCTCTTGATCTAGGGAATTGGATCTGTTCTCCGGTTCCCTGAATTGAGCCTGAATACCTTCCATCCCCCCACGTGCGCTCTATAATCCTACGGGTTTAGCGCTCCCCATGATTATAATAATTCCCCCAGACGCTGTGATACGGCTTTAGCGCTTCCTGTGGATATAATAATAATAATTTATATTAAGAACAATTCTGTTCACTCATGGGCTATTTTATCAGTCTCCCGTTATTATTGTTTCAGATGCATCCCTCTGTTGTTGTCAGCTGTCTTCCGTTGTCTGTTGGGGGATGATTTATTAGGCCTGTTAGGCTGCATGCCACCTGTGATGGGTTTCCAGAGTGACCCTGGGCCACTCAGAAAATACCTTTAATTCTTAATATAAAGATAAAAAAATAAATTCGGAAGTGTGTATATACCGAGACATACACCCCTTGGTGTGTATACATTACCGTTCTCATTGCATACACATCGAGAGAGATACAATCCTCAGTTTATATACAGTGTGTTTGACATTTGCCCTCGTCGTTGTTTACACTGGTTCGTTGTCTCTCCTCGTTGCTATTGTATGAATATTGACGTTGCTTTATTGCAAGCAACGTCACTGACGTTGTTTGCTTTATTATTGTAAGGTTATTGATGTTTGCTTTATTGTAAGTATGCATAGTACACTTCTGAAGTTACTATGTATTTGATAAAGCATTTTCTCGTTGTAAACTTCACCTATATGCTTACTGCTACGATAAATGTACACCTTCGGATGATCTTCTTCAGAGATTATGTGGCATGTACGATTTAGTTTTGGTATGATTCTTATATTAAGTAACTAATCCCAGGGATGAATTATTTAAGAACATAAGAAAGAAGGAGCACTGCAGAAGGCCTACTGGCCCATCCTACTGTGGTTTAAGGTGGTGTCTCTGTTACCTGGAGGTTATTTGAATTATTTGAATTATTTTTGAAATAGTTTACCTTAACAGTAGTGTCCCTGGGATGATTATTTTTGACATGGTTTACTTTAAAGATGTCTTTGAGGTGAGTTACTTTTTCATAGTTTACCTTCAACAGGTGGTTTGACCTTTATAAAAGTTAGGTTGCTAAGTTATTTTTATAGTGTAAACTATAATTGGCAGTCCCAAAATTTGCCTAACTTTAGGCTTTATTATCATCATTTATTATTATTATTATTATTATTATTATTATTATTATTATTATTATAAAAGCACTAGCTCTGTTTAGTTTATTGTCTTTCCTAATTATCAGAGGGGGAGAGATGGAAGAGGTGTTGAAGGAAGGACATCTGCAGAAAGAATTTAGTAAGGGAAAGTGGCGGCGGTCAGTTGATGTCACGTATCGGAAGCAGTTAAGAAATATCTTAATTACTGGCATCGTTGGAGAGGACTTTAACTTATAAAATTTAGGATTGAAGTTGTATAATTATGTCGAAGGAGCGTATCATATCTGATAAAGTTTGCCAGTTATGAGTAATTTTAATTTTTCAGCGTTGAAGATAGCATGATAGTCCACACGATGGTTATTAACTGTGATGGGTGTGTTGTTGCTGTGATATATTGTAGTTATTATAAAGCTGTGCGGTTAATTTAGGTTATGGTTTTGGGTGATGCATTGTATAGTAGTGGTTGACAGTGGCTGTCAGTGTAGCTTCCCAGAGCGTTGACACAAAGCAAGTGTTCAGTCCACGAAATGAAGAGGAAAAAAAAGGGCGTTCCCTTCTAAGGTGTTGGCATCGTAGTGGTCTGGGGTTGTGGCAGCCGCCACCCAGTTTGTATGAAGTGAGGCTTTGGCTGAAAAGAAATTAGCACTAAATATAACCAGGAGCAGCAAACTCTCCATCATGCTTCAGCATTGCCCCCTTCCCTCTCCAACACACACCGGATATGACGTCACAGAGCACTATTCTCCCGCCTCCGCTTTTCACTTGCCAGAAAAGCGCGGCAAAATTTTGGTTGAGGCTGCGGCTCTGAGGTCTTCCTGCAGGTGCATAAACGAAATTCAGTCTTTCTTTTCCGTTGGGATGATGATGTGTGTGGAAGAGTTGTTTTAATGGATTAGTAAGTGGAAAGTGTTATCACTTAGGTAAATACTTCCCTGGGCGCAGCTCGGCACGTATCCTGGCGCCGAGGAGAGAGTGGTCGTTGTGCGCCATGATACCCGCCATGATAGTGTAAACATTGCTTTTCCCGCCTTTATATTCTTGGCGAAGTTTAGTTTTTAGTTCTTTTTTCTTGTTTAGGTAAGCGAATAAAAGATGTGTTTACAGTGCATATATAATCTGTATTTCAGGTTGCAGAACCACTAGTTATAGACTCTGACTGTTGGTTTAAGTTGTAACTTCCACTAATATATACCTATAAAATTAAGGTGCTTAACACAACAAAATTATAAATTTGTAGATGTAAAATTATCAGAATTTAACCTAAATAAAGCTTACCTCCTTGTGGATACGGTATATATCACAAAAGTAACATTTTATGACTAATCTAGATATCTCTGCAGTTATTCAAAATGATTTAAATCCATCTTGTTATTTCTTCTATAGTGTCTGGTGCTATGCATTTGTGTAACTTCAAAGTAAACTTATATTCATGTGTAGTTGTGGTATGGCGTGTTGAGAGGCTTGTGGCCAGTTGTGGGCTAAGAAAACATTCCAGGAGTACCAAACTTGCCAGTATAGTGTTACCAGAGGGAGGAAGCCCCATGGTAGTGCCCAGAGGGTCATGGAGTTCTTCACTACTTTCCCTACACACACACACACACACACACACACACACACACACACACACACACACACACACACACACACACACACACCGTGGTAACAAACTCCGCTAATTTTTGTCCCCATAATGTAATGATCATATCGAATAGGGGTAGCCGCACACTAGGGTTTCCCAAAATATAATTATCGTATCAGTACAGTAGCTTACACTGCGGATTTTCCCCAATTAAAAAAAAGTTCCTGGGGTGTGCATCATTCTTATTGCTGGTCGTGTTAGGAAAGTTATTTATCGCCAGGTTCGTTTTATGTGAGGGTTGAGCATATAAGATTTATAATTGTGATGTAGTATTATTTTTCCAAGACTATTTATGGCATATAAACTAGAAATTAAGTATATTTATATTGCGGTGCTGGCACAAATAAATATTGTTATGTTAGTGATAAAGATGATTGAAAATGTCAGCGAAGACGAGGAGCAAGATGATGGTAGAAGGATAAGCAGCAGCGAGGATGGCGGTGGGTTCCTACACTCTAGGATGAAGGATGCTGCGGATGATGAAGTGTTGCAGATCTTGATAATGATGATCATAAAGATAGACTTGTGTTACTGATAATAATGAAGATAGTGAGACTTGTGTTACTGATAATAATGAAGATGGTGTTGCTGAGGATGAAGATAGACTGCTGGCGAGGGTGAAGATAAACTTGCAGAAGATGAAGACACGGTGTTGTTGAGGATGAAGACGGTGTTGTAGATAAGATACACCAGAGGATGAAGCCAGAGGGTGTTCCTGGGGGTGATGAAGGTGGTGGTGTGTGTGTTAGACAGTCGGGTCACTCACTCAACTTGGATGTGATGTGCTGCCCCTCCATCACAACCTCCTTGAGTGAGTGACCTTCCTGCCACCACCGTCGTCCTGCCATCACGGTGCCATCCTTCACTGCCACCACCGTTGCCCTACCATCACGCCGCCATCCTTCGCTGCCACCGCTGTTGCCCTACCATCACGCTGCCATCCTTCACTGCCATCACCGTCGCCATACCACCCCGCTGTCATTTTTCACTACCGCTACACCTGCCTCTCGTCGACTGTCACATCGCCTGCCAACATGACTGCTGTCTTTAATAAGTGCCCTTAATCTGCTGCTTGTAGGCCGGCCAGCATTCTGCCAACACGTTGTCACCGTTACCACCACTTGTAGCTGGGGGTCATTTCCCCCCCACAGCTACCGCTTACCACCCCCAAACTAGAGTGGCTAGCATCACCACCACCTTCAGCTACTACCAGCATTACTCAAGGCTTCCGGTTCTCCTTTTCCAGAATGGACAAGCTGAAATAATGGGGCACTAAAAGACCAAATGCATAGAAAAGAGGATCAGATAAGTCAGATGGGTATGTTTAAGTTACTAAAATATATTAAGATCAATGGTAAAGGTTCTTGGTTACTGAGGACAGAGACTGGTGAAAAAAAAGATGTTCCCACTTAAATGAACTCAAACCACTTGATTAATTAGGATCAAGAAATGTGTTTAAGTTTTAAAGAAATGGTTTGTTTTTCCCTGATGGTGAGGGGCTCTTGATGCAAGGAATTGGAACTGGCCTCTTCATATGATCGAACTGGATTACTATCCATTTCCCAGGTGTTGTGTGACCCGTGCGTATTTAGTGCTTCCTGATAATGTTAAAATAATATATTTTGTGTTTACTCGAAGATGCAAATAAAATTACAGTGTTATTGAGTAGTTTTACAACCCTGGGTCTCGCACAGGCTGACACCTGTCTTGTAGCTGCTGGCTGGCTCTTGATCCAAAGCGTCGGGACTGCCCTCCCCTTTCTTTTTATTAGACATGATTGCCTGCCTCCCATTCCCCAGGAGCTGTATGACTCTTAAGGGTTCAGCGCCGCCCCAGGAACGTGTCTACAAAGATATGGTCTCCTATTTCCTGTATACACGTCCCTGTTGTGTGACTACTGTGTTGGTGAATGTCACTGTTGTGTGACTTACTGTTCCAATGAATGTCGCTGCTGTCAGTGACTTACTGTTGTGTGATTCACTGTTGTCAGTGAATAATGTTGCACTGTCTCATCGCTGGTGGAAGAATGATACAGACCTGTGATCTGAAGCCAGTCTACATGTGTTGTGGTCCTTGCAGATTCTTCACACACGTTCCTCCAGTACCGAGGTACCAGGGTATCGACAACTTACCAGCAGTGTACTGGGGTATCTGGGTATCCTCCAGCATCTGAAATTCTGCTGCTTAACCAATTCACTCTCCATCCCATCCACTTCCCTCATTCTCCCAGTACTATCCCCGATAAAAGAATATCCTACCCTAGACTGGACCATCTTCCATTCGCGAGGCGTTCGTTTTATTGTTTACACAGCAGCTAGGCCTACGGGTTTAACGCTTCCCCAAGACTACCATCCTTTCATTCCCGTGTCACCAGGAGTCACCATTACACTGTCATCATTCCTCTGCTGCTAAAGGCTACCAAAAAACACGTCTAGTGTACGGTCTGATTATTCCTCACTGTTATGACCTTTTGCCAGGATTTTGAAGACGTCTCCAGACGTGCTAGTTAATGTTAAGTGTTACACCATCACTCCTTACACTCATCCTCGTCTCGCCTCGCTTACTCCCTCGCTCGCTTCATCGCTTCGCCTCGTTCACTCCCTCACTTTCTCGCCTCGTTCACCCTCCCCCCCCCCAGCTTTTTAGCTTACTCTTCCCATCCTCTCTCTCTCTCTCTCTCTCTCTCTCTCTCTCTCTCTCTCTCTCTCTTCTCTCCTCTCTCTCTCTCTCTCTTCTCTCTCTCTCTCTCTGACAGTTGGAAATAAGACGCCAAGCCCATGATGATCCTTTTCAAATCACTTGTTCTCTCTAGGCTGGAATACTGCTGTACATTAACATCTCCATACAAAGGAGGTGAAATCGCAGATCTAGAGAGTGTACAGAGATCCTTTACTGCACGTATAAGTTCTGTCAAGCACCTTAACTACTGGGAACGCTTGGAAGCACTTGACTTGTACTCGTTGGAACGCAGGAGGGAGAGATATATCATAATCTACACTTGGAAAATCTTGGAAGGAATGGTCCCAAATCTGCACACAGAAATCACTCCCTACGAAAGTAAAAGACTGGGCAGGCGATGCAAAATGCCGCCAATAAAAAGTAGGGGCGCCATTGGTACACTAAGAGAAAACACCGTAAGTGTCCGGGGCCCAAAACTGTTCAACAGCCTCCCATCAAGCATTAGGGGAATTGCCAATAAACCCCTGGCTGCCTTCAAGAGAGAGCTGGACAGATACCTAAAGTCAGTGGCGGATCAGCCGGGCTGTGGCTCGTACGTCGGACTGCGTGCGGCCAGCAGTAACAGCCTAGTTGATCAGGCCCTGATCCATCGGGAGGCCTGGTCATGGACCGGGCCGCGGGGGCGTTGATCCCCGGAATAACCTCCAGGTAAAGATGGTAGAAGTGTCCCAAAGATCGTGGCTCAGCAAGTAAGCAGTAGGTGTGAACCACAAGCGTTAACCTCAGCACTCATACCAGTACACACCCACACCACTCTAGTCGGGGTGTGGTGCATACGTTGGACTGTGTGGTTAGCACCACCGGCTGGTTGATCAGGCCAGCTACAGGGAAGCCTGGTCTGGGACCGGGGCGCGGGGGCGTTAATTAATCCTCAACACATTCCAGGTAGACTCGTACAGACACACACACACACACAGCCTGCAGATCGTTTGATACTCCATTTCCTTAAATCAAGAAAATCAAGAACCCCTTTAGCATCAAGGCACCTTTTGGAAGGGCCAAGACATGTTATACTACCCAGGACTGTAATCCTCACCATATACGTGACTACAAGGCTGGTTTTCTTACACACTGACTTGTGGGGTATCACATTACAAATACACCGGTTCATTTTAAACGTGCCCACAAGGGCCAATGGGCACAGCAATTAGCGGGTATGAGACTTAATGCTATACTCTTTATTCTCACGCTTAAATAACCTGAGAAAGCCAGCCCCAGGCTTGCTTCCTTATATCTTATATTTTGAGGAATCCAGCTCCCATGCCTTTTTTATTTACATTGGGAAAGGCAGCCCCATGCCTCTTTGATTTACACTGGAAAACCCAGCCCCTGTGCCTCTTATTTACATTGGGAAAGCCAACCCCATGCCTCTTATTTACACTGGGAAAGCCAGCCCCATGCCTCGTATTTACACTGGGAAAGCCAGCCCCATGCCTCTTATTTACACTGGGAAAGCCAGCCCCATGCCTCTTATTTACACTGGGAAAGCCAGTCCCATGTTTCCTTATGCCTTACACTGTGTTTTTTCTCATCCTCGTACCCTTAAAGAGAGGTGTGCTTGATGGCAGTGAAGGACTCTAGATTTGAGGAATGGAGCTACCCTTCTCTTCACTGGATCAACCCTGACTTCCTCCTGTCCCCTTCCCCGGTGTTTCCCCACGAATATAAACATTCTGATTGATGCTTTGACTCTAAAGCAATGTCTTTAAATAAATATATAAATCCCCATTTTTATTTTATTTACCATTTTTTTGCACCAACGTACACATTTATTGTCTGTTTTCACTCTTATGCTCCATGTATACTAATATATATATATATATATATTTATATATATATATATATATATATATATATATATATATATATATATATATATATATATATAAAACAATTCGCAAACGGGCGAACTTTTAACAAACAATATCTCTCAGTTCACAGCAGGATTCGAACCTGCACACTCTGTATCGAAGTACACAGTACTTTCGTCGCTCAGCCAGATCCCACATCTAGCTGAGTGGCTAAAGTATTGTGTACTTTGATAGTGTGTGCAGGGTCGAATCCTGCTGTGGACTGAGAGATTATGTTTCGTTATATGTATATATGCAAAAGGTTTTGAAGGCTAGCGGCTTGGACATTCAACAGGCGTGTGTGAGCGTGTTAAGAGTGGAAACAAGTGGTTTTCAACACGATGTGCTTTTGGAGTGTTGAACAAGGTAGCATTCATGAAAGGATTCTGGGAAACTGGTTAGGTGTACTTCGAGTCCTGGAGGTGGGAAGTACAGTGCCTGCTCTCTGAAGGAGGGGGTTGGGGATGATGCAGTTCGGAGAGTCATTGAACTGTCATGTCAGCATACATTAATAAAAAGGTTGTTTATAAACTACAGGAATCTGGAAACAGTATAAATTTATACCAGCAGTAGTATCAATAACATGGTCTAAAATACTGTTATGCTTGTAAATCAGCGACCCTTCCCGAGGGAAGGGAGGAGGCTGAGCCCCTGGGACAAGCCTAATTAATTACCATGCGGTGTACGGATTAGTGCCAACCCTTCATTATAATGAGTGAGCCTGTGCACGCGCGCACACGCAGACAATCTTCTAAAACACGTACTCCAACAGCTGATAAAACATCCTCGCTAACCCCCCCACCCCACCCTACACAGCCTCACACTTGTTTACAAACACCATCACACAAACAATAACATCCCGGACCCTTGCAAACACACTCGCAGACACGAGAATAAAAGCTTATTGATTGATTTCATGGATAAATCGGCTGACAAGTTATGATCAAACGTGATAAAACGTTTATTAAGAACATCTTAAAACCTGTGTCAGGACTTAACACAAGTCACAGGTGTTATACCTTGGGTAACTAAGACGAACTCTGCAGAAATCATCATTATTATATATAAAGACTGAATCAATGGCCATAGTTACCAATAGAAATTAGTCACATTGCCTCTGAGGACACAAGACATGTCTTATTAACTTGGAATGTGGTTCGCGCTGTATAGCCCTTGTGGCTTAGCGCTTCTTTTTGATTATAATAATAATAATTGGAATGTGGTTCAAGTGGTAGCGCCTTCAGCAGTAACAGCCTCGTTGATCAGACCCTGATCCACCGGGAGGCCTGGTCGTGGACCGGGCCGCGGGGACGTTGATCCCCGGAATGCCCTCCAGGTAGACGTACCTCTACCTCACCTGTAGTCCTGCTTGGAGGTCACTGCCTCCGAGGCCCGGTCCCAGACCAGGCCTCCTGATTGCAGGCTTCATCGATCCACCTGTTGCTGCCTGCTGCTCAGAGTCCAACATGTGTACCACAACCTAGCTGATCAGGAAGTTTTGAAGAATTTGTTGAATTCCATCTTGAGGACAACTAGGGGTTTGTTGGTGATGGTCTTTTACGTGTGAAGGGAAGGTGTTGAAGAGTCGTGGTCCCTTAACACTTATTGACTTCTCCCTCGGTTACTCATCGCTACCCTATTTTTCCCCGGAGGTATCCTGCACCGTCTGCGAAGCCACTTGTGTTCATAAGAAGTTATTTTAGTGTGCGGGTTTAGGACCAACCCCGCTAGAATTTTCCATGTGTAGATTATCATTGGTTTGATTCCGGCGCAGCTGGAAACATTGGGAATGTTTCCTGTTGACGCAGCTGTACGTAGGTACATGGGAGTTGGTCGAGTGTAGTTGGTCGCATCCTGGGGAGGACATAGACAGGCTCCAGATAGTAATATAACACACTGATTCATTCTTTGTGGTTAATGATCCATGTAGTCGTCTTAAGAGTGAAGAACATACAAATATTCAAGACTGTGGCAGATCAACCAGACTGTGATGGATATGTGCTGCAGCGGGTCGCTGGCAGTAACAGCCTGGTTAACCAGACATATCTGACTGCAAGAGCAGGAAACAAAGA